GACTGCATCTTAGAAACTGACCAGAATGCTCTGAGACACTTTATAAAGCTTTGCAGAGGAGCAAGCCTGCTTTAGGATCTAATTCAGGACTCAGCAAACTACAGCTAGAACTCTTTGGTCAAAACCACTGACCAACCGCCTTTGTAAATAAAGTTTTATTGGAACACAGGCAAACCAAGCATTTGGATATTGTCTGTGGCTGCTTTTGCTATAACTGCAGATTTGAGTGATGAAGCTCAAGACCACAGGACGTGCAAAGCTGAAAATATTTACCGTCAGGTCCTTTGCAGGAAAAGATGGCCAACTTGCGTGTGGATGGAAAGTTCTTCCTGCCTCTCCTTCAGGAAACCTATATGGCACTGGCCATGCGTGCTGGCTTTTTCAGCACAAATCAAGGGCATCCCAGGGCTGCCTTCCCGGGCTGTGGGAGCCAGAGCAGGGCAGGTTCTGGGTCTGGAGCATGGAGAATTTTTACAGCAGCCTGCACTACTAAGTTTAGGAATAGCTAGAAGCACCTGAAGCGTTCTATGAAGATGAGGACCTGTGAGGCAGTCCATACTAGTGTTTCATTTGCATTCTCAGGACCTGACACTGGAAAGATATATGTAAAGGGTTCAGATAAATGTTTGCTCAATACTCCCCCCCCCACAGCCCACACAGCCTTCTTTCTATCCCCTTTGACCCTTTCTTTCTCCCTTCTTCCTCCTAACCTCAGAAATTTCACTTTGTTCATTTGCATTGCTAGTTTTATATGTATTTTACCTCGTCAGATCTTCAGCTATGTAAACTTCCAGTATTCGTCTTTGTCTCCAACTTGACTTGCTGCACTTAATTCCCTTTAACTCCTCCCATTTTATTAAATGGCAAGATTTCCTCTTTCTTTACGACTGCATAATATTCCACTGTGCTCATCTACCACATCTTGATCCAATCTTCTGGATGTGGATACTTCTGTGATTTTACATATCTGACTGTTGCAAATTACATTGCAGCAAACATTGTAGAGTGTGTAACTTTTTCAGTTGATGGTTTCATGTTCAGATAGATGTCCAAGTGGAATTGCTGGGTCATACTATATTTCCATTTTTAGTTTTTTTTTTTTAAAGATTTATTTATTTGTACATACAGAACTGATGTACAGGCTAGAGGATCAGGGGTGGCAAGAGGCTTCACCAGAGACAGAGTGGGGAGCGGAACAGGCAGATCGATGAAGTACACTGCTGAGGGGAGCAGCGGGCGGGTCAGGAGAGGTCTCCCGCGCCATGTGGTAACCTCCAGGGCAGGCGGGAATCAAACTCATGTAGAAGTGGCTTTAGCTTCTTAGTGCTGTGCTTTAACCCACTGCGCCACTAGGGAGGGCCTCCATTTTCAGTTTTTTAAGGTAAGTCTAGAAGGCCTTTCAGAATGGCCACATCAGCTTGCATCCTCCCCTAGAAGATACTAGTGTTCCTCTCTCTCCAGCACCTGTTGTTGGGGGGCTTTTTCATCTGCAGCATTTTCATGCCTGTGAAATGCTATGTCTTTGCTCTTTCAATCTGCATCTCCCTGATTAAAAGAGATGATGTACATTTTCTTACATTATCTATATTATCTGATGATGAACATTTTCCAGACTACATTACTATATTCTATATCCACTTTATGACTCATCTGTTCAGGTCAGCTGCTCACTTATTACTTAGGTTGTTTGTTTTCATTTTAAGTTGACAAAGGTTTTAGTACATCTTGGATTTAACACCTGTTGGCTGTGTAATATGTGAATATTTCCTCTCTTATTCAGTCGGATGCCTTTTTAATCTATTTATATATTCTTTCCTTGTGTAAAAGCTTTTTAATATGAGGTAATCCACCTTATTTTTGCTTTTATTTCTCTTGCCATAAGGGCCAAGTCTCCAAAGACATCTTTATTATTGATGTCACAAGTGAGTGTGTCACCAGGGCTTTCTTCTATGCATATTATTGTAGCAGGTCTTACAGTATCTAAGTCTTTAACCTGTTGGTTGAATTTTGGTGTGTGCTTCGAGGCAGAGAATGGTCCAACTTCATTCTTTCACACAGGACTGTCTGGTCATCCCATCATCACTTGTTAAAAAGACTCTTTTATTGTGTGATGGTGGCTCCTGGATCATAAATGAAGTATTGATAGACATGTGGATTTACTTCTTCTTTTTTTTTTTTTTTCCCAAATGAGAAAGGAATGAGTAGCATGAGGAATGAGTTTTCTCACAACCTCCCTGGAAGGTAGTGCTGGAAAAGACCCTTGTTACCTGCAGCTCAGAACTGAAATCCTCACATCTCTTGACTCCAGGCAGCTTTTCTCAATTGTTTTTGGTTAAAGAACATCAAAGAGCATGAGCACAATGGCTATAGGTAACACGAAGTAAGAAGGGGGTGCTCATTAAATGCCAGGCACTCTGCTAGATCCTTTTATTCTCGTGACAAGTTCAATTTTAATCTCATTTTACAAATGAGGAAACTGAGGCAAGGAGAAGTCATGTAATTTACCCAGTGGATGAATAGCAAAGCTAGAATTTTTACACGGGACGATCTCTGTAGCTGCAAAAGAATAAAATAGTTGCTGGGGTGACTAAGACGCTGTCTCCCTCACCCGGTCCACTGAGCTTCCCTTCCTTGTTATCTAAGAATTCCCCCACTCCCCCCCCCCCCACAGACCTTAAAGAGGGGGCCAGGGGACCGTGTGTCATCTCCATGTTGTTTGTGGGTGAGGACAAGATTAGCAACTTACTCAGTTCTGCTCAACAACATGCAAGCAGCTAGGGGGGCTTCTGAAAAGAATCCCTCCCCTGGAAACCCCACTTCCTGGCACAGGAGGAGAAAAAGATGGAGGTCACCTGGAAGAAAGGCGATGCTCTGTGACCACACTTCCCTCCCAAGGTGCTCAGCTCCAAACTGCCTACCACGAAGAGTAGTAAACCCCATTATGCCGGCCATTCTTTGATATTCTCGCACCGAGAGAGTATCGACTTCATCATCCTGTTCTTAGTCTTTCAGCATAGCCGTAGCCTCTCAGCAGTCCCTCACTTACTGAGTAATTTTCTTACCTGCCTATAACTTGCTCCCTCTTAAGAACAGGCCCTAACCTCTGCCTCTGGCGGCCTCTGCCTCCAGGAGCTGGATAATTGTCAGGAGACACTGAGCATAAGCCCAGATGCTTCCACCTCAGTACAGAACAGAAGGATGAAGTTATAATGTGATGTAACAAAGTCATCATAGAGGTGAAATCCCGGAAGACTGAATTGGTTTGGTCTGTTGTCCCCAGCTGGGCCTCAGATTCTCTTCCACTCCCCACTATAAACTCTCAAAGGTAAAAATACAAATTCAATTTTACATGTTGAAATGTCATTTCAAAGTTTGCTGGTTTTTGTTTTGCTTAGATAGTGCTTGTTTTGTTTTTGTAATAAAATTTCAGCCAGGGAATCCTGATTTCAAGGAAGATTTGTGTGTTTTTTTTGTTTGTTTGTTTACTGTTATGTTTGCAAACATAAGCTAGGACACTGTTTGGGGAGATAAGCAAACTCAAACATTCCAAAAGCTGGGCCTTTTGTTCTTGGTTGTCAGACACACAGTGTTAGAGAGAGGGCCTGGTCCAAGACCTGGTCCATCTTAGTGGCCTGGATGACGCTGGTGCTGGCCATGCTGGGGACTGTGGTTTCCTGGGAAGTCACCCCAGGGAAGTGCTTGCAGAAAGGGGCTGAAGATCCCGTCTTCCATTCCCTCAAGGGAACAGAGCTCAACTTGGCTTTTTCCATCCTGTCTAGACTGGTCTGTTAGTGACCTTCAGGATGGACTTTCTAGAAACCATAATCAGGTTAGGAAATTATATTATGACATACTGATAATTGTCCTACAAGATGGAGCCATTGGAAATATCCCAAGACTGATAGAACAATTCTGTCTCAAACAACAAAGTAAACTGAAACGGACAGCTGTCAAACTCTTGAACTCTTTTGTCCTATCCCTGTACATGCAGGACCCAGGGGAAGAAGGACTCTCCATGGGAGCCAGAAATGCCCACTGGGCATAATCCAGGAAAGGGAGGAAGCCTGGGATGCAAAGGAAGGTCTGGAACCATGGGCCTCAAACCAGGGCGAAGAGGGAAGCATCTCACTACATCCGCTTTTCCTATCAGAAAACAAATAGTTAAGGGTTCGCACAGAGTCACTGTCGCAATCTCTTAGCTCTACAGCAGGAGCATGAAATCAGCCATAGGACTTGCACCAGTGGGTGGCTGTGGCTTTGGCCCACTAAAACCATACGCAACGCACAGCAGGTTGGATTTGGCTCATGGACCATAGTTAGTCAGCCTCTGTCTTCGAGCATCTTGGTGAGGGGGTCTGAGGTGGGCGGAGGTAAGTCAACCCCAAGTAGGTGCTTCCTTCCAGGAGCCTTAGGGTGCAGGCCCTGGAGGTGCCTGTTCCTGACAGTGATGTGGAATCATGCCTGCTGTCTCCTGAACAAGTCACAGTTTTGGCTTAGGGCAAAACTGAGGGCAGTAAGAGAAGGGTCTGCCCCACACTTGGGACAGCTGTCATCTGCGGGGGGTATTGAGGGCAGTACTGTAGGCCCTGATGAGCCAGGGTGGCCCTCTGCTGTAGCAGCCTCAGCAGAGAGAAAAGAATTGAAGGCAGGTGAGGCCTGTTCCTGGGAAAGGGGGTTGCAGGGCCCCTGAGAAATGAATAGTGAACAGACACCCTGAGGCTGGTGTGGGCTTGATCTGGACAGTAAAGGAAAAAGGGACCCTTTTTAATCACTGAGGGTGGGAGGGGGGACCAGTTCCTCCTCTCTGGTCCTCACAACAGCGTGTGGTGGGGAGCATAGACTAGGGTCAGGGGCTGGGCCTGGGCTGACCCATCTGGGGCCCAGGCACAAACCTCTGCTTGGCACCATCACCTGGTGATTAGAGCTAAAAACTGAAGTCAACTGGGCAAGTCAGAGGAACAGTTTTAATTACACCCTGGGGGTGTCGTCCAGGGGTGTCGTCAGCTCAGCTTCCGCCCCACCAGGCAGAAAAGTCCCTCATTGTTCGCCATGGTGGAAGAGTAACTTTGAGAGATGACCTCAAACTGTTCAATGGTGAAGCCAGCCTCCCTGGCGGCAGCCTCGATGGCCTGCTGGCCCAGAGAGAGGCTGGAGAACCTCTGCTCGCCAATCATGTAGTAGCTGCTCTTGAGGGCATCCACGAGCACCAGGAAGCCCCCCGGTTTCAGCAGGCTGCTCAGATTCCTGAGGGCGGCATGGTAGGTGGGGAGGTCCGGGCAGGCAGCGTCCAGGCACAACGTGCTGAGCACACAGTCAGCCAGCGGCAGGCGGGCCTCAGCCAGGGGCTGGCTTTGGGTCACATCACACTTGAGCACCTGCTTGACCACCTGCCTCAGTTTCTCCTCCTTCTCCGGCCCCTTCACTCTGAAACACATATAACCAATAGGCATTGTTTGCTACGCCACTGGTAGGGGCCCCAGATCTCTTTGGTCAGTGCTATTCCAAATGTCACATCCTCAGAGTCACCTGTGAGATGAAGGCCGAGAAAGACGGGGCCCGTTTTGGCCTGTGGGATGACCACATCACCCTGTATTAGGTTTCATCTCTATCAAGTGAATGGAAACTTATAACAAAGAGATGATAATAAAAATCCTACCTGCCTCTCTCTACCATGGATGGCTCCCACCCTAATCAGACGTCCAACTCTGTTTCTAATAGTCTCCAAGTCAATTCTTAGTTATTATTTCTTACCATTATTATTGTTATTACCTTTGTCCTCTCTGCCAAACTGCAAGGTAGTAGCTATTTAACCTGTGCATATTAGCAAGGAAGGGTTTAAAATGCTGAAATGGTCTTTTGCATTTCCACTTATAGAATTAGCTGATCACTGTCTCCGTGACCAGGGTCCCTCCAGAGAGAACTACCAGAGTCCAGCCTCCAAAAATTAGTATAGAATGAGACCATGTTGTTTAATGAAGATCCTTTTCTTGGTAGCTTTGATAGAAATCCGATTCTTTTCAATCACATCAACAGGGTCTCTTTTAAGAAATGAAAAGAGAAGAGAAGACAAGAGCAGGAGATGGAAAATAGGATCTTTTTGGAATTTGTTAGTGAGGCAATGAAGGAACAAATTGACAAGTGAACAAAATTAAATCAGTGTAGGAAGTGTCCCAGAGATACTGGAGAAAGAAACAAAGAAGAAGTAGGAAAAAGTTGGAAAGAGAAAAAGCAGCAGCAAGTCTGTAGAGTCCCCAGAAGGACTCAGAGCCCAAGCAGTAGAATGCTAACTGGCCAAGCAGCCTTTGAAGAAGTTCAGTGATAAAGCAGCAGGATGCAAATCCAGGCTCACATTCAGGCAACATACAGCCCATGGACTCCAGGAGAGTCACTTGGCCAACAAGTTCTGATGGAGCTAGCAGAGGCTACCTCCTCTCAGAGCAGGTAAGAGGGACATACACTGGGCCCACTTCTGATCGTGAGGAAAAGTCAGTGATTCACTTCCAGGCGGGATGACTTGAAAAAACAGTCATTGGTTATGAACATCCAATTTAAATATTTACTTAAAACCTTAAGTCTATTGCATGTAATCAGCCTTTGACAAACATCCTGTATGTCTGTTACCATTTTCCATTAAGAAGCCTGGCAATAAGTGCTACCACAGAAATGCATATCAAACCATGAGATTCTACTTCACATCCTGGTATGACTATAGTAAAACATACAGATACTACATAAAGGGAAGGATGTGGAGTAAATAGAAACTTGGACCTACTTATACTATATTGTTGATGCAGACATAAAATGGTCCAACTACTTTGGAAAATAGCCTGGAACTTCCTCAAATGGTTAAACATAGAATTGTCATACAATCCAGGACTTTTGTTCATAGGTATATACCCAAGAGAAATGAAAACATACAGCTACGTAAAAACTGTACATGAGTATTTATAACAGTATTATTTGCAAAAGCCAAGCGATACCCATCAACTTATAAACAAATAATGTATGTCCAGACAATGGAATATTATACAGCAAGAAAAAGGAGTGAATAATGAACATGTGCTACAATATGAAAGAAACTTGAAACCATATGCTAAATGAATGAAACTGGAAACAAAAGACCACGTGATTTATATTCCATTTATAATAAATACCTAGAAAAGGTAAAGAGATAGGGCTGAAGGCAAGCCAGTCAGGGTTGAGAGGACCAGGGGAAATGGGAATGATCATTAATGGTACAGGCTTCATTTGGGAGTTATAAAAATATTGAAAAACTGTGATGAGGATCTCACAATTGTGTGACTATACTAAGAATTATTGAATCAGACACTTTCAATGGATGAGTTGTATGTTCCATGAATTTTATGTCAATAAAGCTATTACATTACAAAGAGAGAAAGAGAACTTTGGGGAGGTATTGGCTTGTGAAATTCTTACCAACCAAAAAACTAGGACATTCAGGGAATGAGTTACCTTCTGGGTCTGCATGTCCCTCTATCAACAGTAGAATGGTGATAGTGACAACTTGTTCTAATTGGTGTTGGATTTTTCTGGTTTAAACATTGAAAATCCTACATTCTGGAGGACCCCCCCCCCACTTCTACCCATAATCCTGGACAAACCGGGAAGATTAGGCATTGTAAAAGCAGGGAAATCAAGTAAGAGATCAGGGGAAAACATATAATAAATTAAAAAGCAAAATTAACAGGCAATTATAAATCAGAGATATTCTGCAGACGAGGGAGATAGAGGGGGATCAAAACAGGGGAAGGAAGAGCACAAGGGAATATGGTGATGGAGCATGGGTGAATTGATGGTGGGGATTTTATGGGGACTATACCTGAGAAGAGGAAGAAAACATTATGCAAAAAGGAAGAATGATGTGTGTGTGTGTGTGTGTGTGTGTGTATAAACTGTACATGAGTATTTACACAATATGATTTGTGTTATACATTTATATATATTCACACACACATATATACATACATTTATATGTACATATATACATAGGAAATCAGTTCCAAACTGCCACCCTGCCTGATAGAATATGGATGATTTGGCAGAACTTTCTAAGAGAAAGAAATAAAACTGCCCATTGTAGAAGTCTATGTGAAACATGGATTTAAATAGCTAAATTAATAAAGAAAAGGAAAATGTCAAGTCACCAACCTGCCCATATGGGTAACCTATGTGCACACGAAAAACCGGAGGAAGTGACAACATAATGTTCTTTTGAATGTGTTTAAAGATGATCCTCTCTATGGGGAGCCTTGTGGGAAAGTGTACTTAAGTCATTACTTCAGGAGCAGACCTCTGTACCCTGTTGTGTATTAAGCTATTTTAAAGACACAAGTTACCACAGAACCAGTACTTGCTAGTCGGATGGTGATGGAAATTGTTCCCAAACTGTGAGTCACACTGTGAAGTCTAGAAAGCTTGCAGAGAATGTGCCAATTTGAGAGGGAAATTTGTTAGAAACACCCACTGTCGTGGATACCTGCTTGTCCTTGGATGCACAAAAAACATCGGTGAGCTCAGTTGCCAAGGCAGCTGTGTAAAGATTTCACCTCAGGACTCCTCATGGCCTGCGAGTAACCGAGGGGAAATGGACACGCCTGGAGACGCAGGCAATTACCGCTCAGCCTTGCGTTTACCTCAAGGGGTAAGTAATAAACACACACCAGAACAGCGTTCCGCAGCTTCACAGAAAGCTAACAGCAGTGTGGCCACTGCTCGTGTTCTAAAGATCTACTCTTTCAGATGAATCAATATGCAAAAAGGGGCAGCTGTTCTCTGTGAATATGCTGTCTATAAAAGCCTGAGGAGGCTGGGTAGGGAGGGGAGGATTGAAAGAATAAAGCATAGGACTCCTGGGAAGAACACTTGGGAAGAATGTCTTCCCATAGCCCAGGTAATTATCTGAGATTTAGAGGATGTTCCTCCTGCCCTGTCTCTACAAGGCAGGTGGTGGATCAGAGCCCCGAGATAAGCATTTTACCATTCTGCTCACCTCCCCCAAGCCCCATGTCCCCAGAAGTTCCAGTAGGACCTCCTGAGGAGAACCATCAAAATGGGTAAGGAAATAAAAAGCTAAATAGGCTGGAAAGTCAATGTAAGAATTGTAAGAGCAAGGGGTAATCATTGTAAACCTTCAATACAGGCTGTGTCTGAACCAGGTAAAAGACGTTCTAAGAGGGAGAGTCTAGAAAGCAAAATGCTTGTGTTCACTTCTTTTACAAATGTTTTTTGGTAAAATAAACAAACAAACAAAAAACATCTATTATGTGCCAGGAAGCATGCTGGACAATGGAGATACCAGTGTGAACAGATGAGAAACAGATCCCATCCTCATAGAGACTATAGTCCAGAGGGAAAGACAGACTTCAATGATCATCTATAAAGATGAAAAACTGAAACTGATAAATACTGGAAAGGAGAGGAACATGGCACTCCTGGAGGGATCTTGCAATCTTGACTTGGTCAAGGAGGAAAGAAAATTACTGATTTACTTATCTCGATAAACTGAAAGAATTTGTCTTCAGTTGATCTGATCTGCGTTATAAGATATACTAAGGGAGTCCTTTAGGCTACCACTGGCAGGTACAGGCTGCAGAAAGGAATGAAGTCTACTAGGACAGAAGTGGGTGAATATAAATGACATTTTATATATTTCTTTAAAATACTACTGACTGATGTGACTATACTTAAAGCTACTGGGTTATACCCTTAAAAATAGTTAAGATGATAAATTTTACTAAGTGTGTGTGTATTTAAATCTCAATAAAAATAAAATAGTAAATAACCAACAAATAAATAAAAGCACTGGAGACTGCTTAAAGTAAAAATAATAAAGTAGGGTTATAGACTATATAGAGCAAATATATAACAATAATTACACAAGGGATAGAATTATACTGCTCTAATATTGGTAGGCTATTGTTCATGAATATAGTTCTGTTAAAAACATATTATACATGAAAAATCACATGTGTACACATTCACGTAAAGCACAAAAAAATCAAAAGAGGACACAGAAGTCAGTAGAAGCAAAAAAAAAGGAAACTAAAAGTGTGTTTACTTATACTAAATGAAGCACCAAACACTATTCCAATAACCAAGGAGAAGCAGGAATAAAGTCACGACATGAAGAACACCCTGATGAGACAACTAGGAAATTTGTGTCAAGAGGACAGTTTAGACTCAACCATGTAAGAGGAGTAACTACACTAAATGTAAGTGGGCTAAACACTCCAGTAAAAGAAAAGAAGTTGTCAGATTGGATTGATTAAGGGAAGACATACTACGTGGTATTTGTAAGAAAAACATTGTAAGCATAAAAATACAGACAGGTTAAAAACAAAAGATAGGAATATAAATACCATGTACCTTAGCTACTATTGCTGCCATTTAAAATGACAAACATTTATCTCATAGTTTCTGCGTTATTTTTCTGGGTGTATGTTGGCTGAGTCCCTCATTGCATGGAGCTGTAGTCAGAATGTTAGTTTCCTCTAAAGGTCCGATGGGGGCAGGGGAAGAGCAGGATTTGTTTTCCAGCTCCTTTCACAGGACAAGTGAGTCAGAGTGAGCCACTCAACAGGGAAACTGTAGTCTTTTTGTAACCTAATTTCAGAATTGATGGCCCATTGCTGTGATTTATTAAATTTGAATTACTAAATCCAATGGACACTCAACGGGAGGAAATTTAATAGGTGTGTGGATACTAGAGGTGAGAATCATTGGGCACACACCACCCCATGTAAACACCAAGCATAAGAAGGATAATGTGGTCCTATTAGTAGGTTATAGTAGACTTGAAGACTAAGTGTTTCATTTGTAGTACAGGGAGTGATTTCAGATGGATTTCCTTCTGAAATGGTCAATTCATCCAGAAAAATATAACAATCCTAAGAATGTGTACAGCAAATAATGAACCTTTAAAATGCATGAAATAAATGTTGACAGAATGATGGTAAACTCACAATCATATTTTCAGATTTCAATACATCTCTCTCAGTATTTGATGGGCCACATAATCAAAAAAATCGTATAGAAAATGTCAACAATGCAATGAATATAGCTGACTTAGCTGATGTTTATAGGAGCTCTATTTATAAAATATACATTCTTTTCAATGAAGAATGTAAACAGATTCATGGAGATAGACATATACTGAACATAGACATATACTGTGACAAAATTTAATTCTAAGCCAATAATAATAAGACATCTAAAAAATCCCTAAATTTATGGGAATTAAATGACTCAATTTTAAATCATGGTCAATGAAGAAATGATAAAAGAAATAAGAAAATATGTTCACTTGGATAATAATAAAAAATGTAAAATATCAGGGGTGTAGCTAAAATGTTCTGAAAGAAATGCCTACAGCAGAAGACAAAAATGTCTGAAATCAATGGTCTAAGCTTCCTTCTTCAGCAGTTGGAAAAAGAAGAATTTATTAAAATTAAATAAAAGTTAGAAATCAATCCAATAGGAGATGGACTTATAATCAAGAAAAACTAAAACTAACAAGTCTTTTAAAGGTTAATGAAGTGTATCAATCTCTAGCAAGACTGATCAAGATATAAAGCAAAAGGCAATTAACAGTATCAAGAATGAAAGCAGATGATCACTAAGGGCCCTACAGACACTAAAAGGGTAATAATGGACTTGTAAAAAAAAGAAGAAAAATAAAATCCAAATAGCCATTAAAGGAACACTGTTCTTAGTAATCATAATCATCATAAAACCCTTTCATACCAATGAAAGAAACTTCAGATTCAGATAGTTTCATCTATTTTAATCTTTTGAGGAAGAAATCACGTAATAAAATCTCTGTTTAAGATGGAGGAGGAAATACCCCCAACTTTAACCCAGTATCATGTCGAAATCAAAACCTGTCAAGCATATTGCAGCTTCCAACAATCTGCAAAAAAAAATGACAGCCCAGTAGCCTTCATAAATATAGACACAAAACTTTCTAAAAATATATTAGCAAATCACATTCACGAAAACTACTGCATGAACTAGGAGGTTATGCATTTTGGTTTAAACTTTTAAAAAAACATCCAATGTAATTCATATTTTCAGAAAGGAGAAAAATCATCTAATCATCTCAGCAAAGACAAAAATTTTAAGAAAATCGACCATTTAATTAAAACTTCCAAGAAACTAAGACTATGAGGAAATTTAGTCTGATAAAGATTATCTATAAAAAAGTATACATTATGTCATTTTTAATGATGATTAAACATTTTTTTCTAAGATGGAAAAGCACAAATCCCTGTTCTCATTATTTCTACTCAATATTATTTTAAAAGCCCTAGCTCGTATGATAAGGCCAGAAAAATAAGTAAAAGGCATAAATTGTGAATACAAGAGTAAAACTTTTTTTTAAAGATTTTATTTATCTGTGCATACAGAACTGGGGTACAGGCCAGAGGCTCAGGGGCAGTGAGAGGCTTCACCAGAGACAGAGTGGGGAGCAGAACAGGCAGAGCTATGAAGCACACTGCTGAGGGGAGCAGCGGGCGGGTCAGGACAGGTCTGACGCACTATGTGGTCACCTCAGGGGCAGGAGGGGATTGAACTCATGCGGAAGTGGCTTTGGCTTCTCAGTGCTGTGCTTTAACCCGCTGCGCCACCAGGGAGGGCCCACAAGAATAAACCTTTTATTTGCAGATGATATAAGATCACATGCAGAAAAAAATTATGGAATTGACAAAAAAAAAAAAAATACTACATGTCAGGCCAGCCTGGGCAGCCCAGGGGGGCCAGTGGGGCCCCTGGCCTTGCGGCCTGATGGTAGTCTCCAGGAAGAGGCAGGTGTCATGACTAAAGGACCACCCCACATTCCAGGTTGTACAGATGGGGGGTCACCTGGGCCTTGCCTGGGCCTTGACTTCCTGGGTGCCCTCTGCCTCGGCTGTTTTGAGCCTTGACCCTCCTCCTCTACTCCTGGGTATAAATTTTCTCCCTGTGCTGCCTTGGTGTGACCCCTAGACTGCTACATTATAAGAATAGTGTCACCAGTGAGTCACCTTGACATCTACTTCTGACAATGCACATTTACTACCAATAAGCCCATGTCGCAACAATATATAAGAAAATGATTAAAAGTTTAGAAACCTGGCCCTCCCTGGTGGCACAGCAGGTTAAAGCACAGCACTAAGAAGCTGGAGCCACTTCAGCACGAGTTCAATCCCCACCCCAGAGGTGACCACATGGCGTGTCAGACCTCTCCTGACCCGCCCGCTGCCCTCCTCAGCAGTGCACTTTGTTGATCTGCCTGTTCTGCTCCCCGCTCTGTCTCTAGGGGCCTCTCACGGCCCATGAACTGTTCCCCAGTTCTGTATGCATAAATAAATGTTTTCCAAAAGTTTAGAAACCTCCTATTAACCTAGAAGTCAACAGGCCATTAAAAATAGTGGGGTGGGGGCAGGGCAGCAGCTAAAGAAATAGAAACAGACTTAGTTTCAGAAGAGAAACTGACTCAGGAAGACAGAAAAGTTGGCAAATAAATGGGAATCAAATACCGTGCAAGGGCAGAGAAATGAATTGACCGTCACCCCAAAAGAAGAGTGTGGAGGTGGGCACATCCGTAAGAACACCTTAGGCCACATGGCTTTATATTTATCCTTGGGATTCAGGGTTACTGCCTCCATCCTCCCGTTCAAGCTCAGAAACACAGAGGTCACCCCTGACACTCGCCTCACTTCCCATGCGTGAGCGTTACCAGCTCTTAGCTATTCTACCTCAAAGACTCACATTAAAATCATTTACTTCTCTCCATGATGTAGAGCGCGTCTGGAGTTAAGTTGTCTCTTCCTTGCCCTTTTCTTTCTCCCCTCCCCCCTTAGTCCCTTCTCCACACAATAACCAGCATGATCTTCATCAATGTAAACCGCGACCCAGCTCCCTCTGGGCTATCTCTCTACTGCCTTCTTTACTGAGTCCACAACGTGGCCTCCATTGTCCTAAATGACTTGCACATGCTGACTAGCAACTGAATGTCATCAAAGTGGGGGAGCCCGGCTACCTCCAGTGAAGAGCTGATGTCACCTTTTACTTGAAATTGTCCTGAAACAAGGCCCACATGCAGTGTCTGCCCCAGGGAAGGCTGGCACCCAGTCCTCTCGGCTCAGTGTCCGTCTCTGAAACTCAACCTGCAGTGTCCATGTTGATGCTCGTGCCTGGACACACACACACACACACACACACACACTCACACACACCTTTATCTCATTCTTTCACTAGCAGTCTTTATTCTCCGTTTGGATTTCTGTTTGATATTTCTCTGTCTCCCTTGTTTTTAAATTTGGCTCAAGAATCATTCTTGGTTTAGAAAACTGTCATTCAGGCACCCTCTGAAAGCCAGGAGGCAGCCCCCCAGTTTCATTACCTGCCCCCTTCAAGTTCACACACATAGTTCACTACTGGGGTCCAGTCAAAGGCCCCTGGCTCCTTCTTCAGCCATTTCTCCAGCTCTTTCAGGTTCTGGTCAGTGTAGTCAGAGGCGATGATCTCCTTGAAGGACTCACAAGCAGAGAGGAGCTGATAGATGGTGGGGCCAGAGCCGATGTCAATCAGGAGGTCTCCCTTCACGCCATCTGGGGAAGGGGAGAGGTGAGGAGGGGTGGCCAGGCATCACACCGCAGAAGACAGGGCTCACTGATAGCACCTTTGCTGGGATTGTTCTGGAGACTTCCCCAGACAGGCCATCTCTCCACTTACTCCTTCCCTCCCAGTCTCTTTTTAAAACCTCTTTCTTTTCCATTCCCCAATCCAGGGAGAGGGCATGTTGCCTGGATATTTTAGGTGTAATCAAAGGAGAAAAGTTCTACAACTGCTGTACAGCTTCTCGATCTAGAAAGACTCCCAGATAGAGAAAGTTAAAAACTAGGAAGGAAGGAAGACTTTGAGGAAAAGTTTTTTAAAATTTAATTGAGCATATATTGAGCTTTTCTGCTAAAAATACCTCATTCTGTGTATATTCGGAGGTCTTTAACACATGCATATTTATAACATCACTTTGCATTAGAAGTAGATCAGCATCAGAATCTCCATTTGTTAAGTGGTCCATCAAGGTGAAATCTGATTCTATTCAGATCTCTCCAAATGTAGGATAGAACTCCATCCTTTAATATGATCAAGTGAGATCACGAATATAAAAGCACTCTGGAAACTCTAAGACCTCTACCTCAGCATTAGTTTTTTCCTAGTTAACCAAACAAGAATGCCCAAAAGGGCTGTCAAACAACAATGATGAGACACTACACCCAGTTGTGCCCCGAGACTCTGTAGGACTCATATTTTGGTGGGGAGACACACAGACAATGGGATATACTTACCTACACAGAATATCTTGAAAAGACTTTTCAGAAGATGCCTAAGAATCTTATTTTCTGATGATTGTTTGGACCCAAAATTGTAATATTTTTCTAGGTAATCCCGGGGGTTAAAGTGGCTCAGGTACGTGTCCTTGGAGGTGAAGCCAGAGTCCATTGTGCTTGTTCCTGGGCCCCAGTGCACTGCCCCACTTCCGGTTTGCAGGAACCAGAAGTCACCTGCAGAAGTTGCTTTCTGAGTCTCAGGCTCTCAGTTTTCTGTCAGTTCAGCCTATCCATTAGGGAGAGCGATTTGGTTAAACACTAACAGAGAAATATACCCAAAATGTTTTGCCCTTTCTAGGGTGTTATGAAATTCCTAGGGAGGAGAGCCTAGGAGAAGGGGGGGAGTGGCCGGGGAAGGGTCACCAGCTGCTCGCAACGCTGGCCAGGGGGTGAAGTTCAGCTCCAAGAGAGGATTCAGCTCGCTGAGATTGTGGGGAAATGATTTCACTCATTGAGAAAACCATACGTTCAGCAAAATGGGCCATGTCCCCAGAACACCATCGCTCTTCTTCCTGCAGTGACTGTCCCAGCAAATAGACACAGAGTGGTCTCAATTTAAACATGTGAAAGAAAGAAAAGAAGAGAAAGACAATGAGAGGAAATGCATTCAGGGTAAGGAATGGAGCTTAAGGAAGGATTTCCAGATGAGTTCTGGAGAGATGGCAAAACGCATTTTTGGAAAATAGGATGGGACTTCTCCAACACCGCGACTAGCTGCAAATCTCTAAGCCTCTCTTTGTCCTCCTCATGGCTCTCTGTCCTCGCTCTGACACCTGCTGCTTCAACCAGTGTAGCCAACTCCTAGCCTCTCGCAAGCACCTCCTCACACATTCAGTCCGCCCTAATCCTGATAGTTCTTTCAAAGTGCATGTAAAGCCCTCCACCGCTTTATGAGTCCCTAAATTCCCTTCATTGAGCTCACACTGCCTTTAGCACCAGCTCCATGCAGCCAAGCATCTGATTTTGTGGCCCCTATAGTTTGCTACTGGTTTGTCTGCATCAGTACAATTTCCCAGACTGTATAGTATACAATGGGTTAGAGTGAGAGTTGGAGCGGTAAAGACAGAGAATTTGGCAGAAAGATGCTTTATCAGTTAGTCTAGTCAAGACATGGGACTGATACCAGTACTCAGAGCCAGAAAATTTAATATAAATAAGTATTAACTAAATTTTAAAAAGTGGTTAATGGGGCCCTCTTGATGGCACAACAGGTTAAAGCGTAGCACTGTGAAGCTATCAGCAGCCGGCTTCATCGCAAGCTCGACCCCCTGCCAGGGAGCTGACCCACATGGCGTAACAGACCTCACCTGTCTCACCCACTGCTCCCCTCCGCAGTGTACTTCATCGATCTGCCTGTTCTGCTCCCCCGCTCTGTCTCTGGTGAAACCTCTCACTGCCCCTGCACTTCTGGCCTGCACCCCAGTTCTATACACATAAATAAATCTTTAAGAAAAAAAAAGGTGGTTAATAACTCTAGAGGGTGTCAGCAGTGGCAAATGCAGAAAGCCACTGGGTAGAAGGAAACAGAAGAAAACGTGGGCTGGGAGCCCCAACTCTGGGGAGAAGGCACAGAACCTGCAAGAATGTGTCCAACGCAGGCACCCAGAAAAACGCTGCTGCTGGGACCAGCATATACTGCGCCCCGTCTCAGTGAGGACAGTCAGTGGAGAGACTACTCGATGGATCGCACGTTCTCCCTCTCCCAGACCTCAGAGGAAACCTAGGAAGTTGCAAATCTCCTCTTCATCAGACCTTGGGGTCCCTCCAACACCCCCCACTGACAAACCCAACACAGAGGCAGCTGGCAAAGGAGAACTGTGTTTGCAGAGTCCAGTTCTGACGTCATCAGATGCAGGAAGGGAGCCTAGAGCAATGAGGCAATGAATTAACAACTGGCACAGACCTCAGTACACAGGAACAAAAAAGATAGTATTTATCGATCTGTTATTTTGTCAGGTACTATTCTATGTGCTTTACAAATATTAACTGATTTAATCCTTAACACAGAAGGACACACTTAGAAGGTCAGTGGATTCCAGGCAAGATATGTAAAAGGAAACCTACGCTTAGACATTGTACTGGTGAAACTTCAGAAGACCAAATACTCTGAGAGGATATTGAAGAGAAAGAAAAGACGCAGGTTGCCTTCGAAGAGCGACAGTGACGCTGAGGGCTGAGTTTGCAGGATAGTGAAGGAAGGCAGAAGTCAGAACAATGGTGGCAATGTGAAAGTAACTGTCAACTGAGAATTCTCTAACCAGGAAAGAATTGGGGGTGGGGAAAGGATATTGTCAATCCAAGAAGAAAAAAAAAATTGCCATTTGTAGTTCCTCTCTAAAGGAAACCCTCAAATGACCTACTTCAGACCGAAGGAATGTGAGCCCAAATGGAAGCTCTGAAATGCAAGAAATAATAAAAAACAAAGGAGGGGACCCTCCCTCGTGGCGCAGGGGGTTAAAGCACAGCACTAAGAAGTTAAAGCCACTTCAGTATGAGTTCAATCCCCACTCCTAGAGCTGATCCACATGGTGCGGCAGACCTCTCCTGACCTGCCTGCTGCTCCCCTCAGCAGTGTACTTCATCCATCTGCCTGTTCTGCTCCCCACTCTGTCTCTGGTGAATCCTCTCACCACCCTTGCACCTCTGGCCTGTACCCCAGCTCTGTACGCATAAATAAACAAATCTTTATTTAAAAAAAACAAAAGAGAAGGCTAATAAGTAATTCTAACACACACAAAAAATATGTCACACACAATAAAATGTAATTAAAATATACAATAGCAATAGCCTGTAAGTTTCAGGAGATGGTGGATACCTGGAATCGAAGTGTTTGAGAGCTTTGTGTTATCGAGGGAGGGAAGACTCTAATAACTGAGCGATGCACATTGTAATTCTAAGCAGAGGGTGCCCTGCCCATATCCCCATGCTTCCCATTTCCTTACTGTGGACACCTGAGACTGCTGAGGGCTTTCAAAGCAGGTCAACATCATCCTCCACCTAGAGCAGCTCAGAAAAGCCAGGGAGTGAATGCAGCAGGCCTCAGGCCTTCCACCTCTGGGAGAGCAAAACTGGTGAATAAACACGTAATCTTCCCTGCTCCTGGGACAGGAGTGCTGAGACACATTCTCTCTCCTCTCCCAGAAGTACAGGATGAACCCTCGGTGCCCTCAGCAGGAACTGGATCCTGGATAGAGACTTCACTGGCTTCCTTTCTTTTCCTGTCCCAAACTAGCACTTCCTGGGATCCAAACTGGAGTGGCAGGAAGGCACAGAGCATGTTCTCTATGAACCTGGGCAGATGGGTAAGGGAGAATCCTTAGTGGCTTTTTCAGGTGTCTAAGGATCTCGCGACACCATTTGTAGTGAAGCAGCCAGGTACAGGGCAGGCAGCAGGGCAGGGCCGGGCAGTTGGCAGGCCTGCCCACCCTGGCAAATCATTGCTCTTTCTCTAGGCTCTCGCTGGCCTTCTCCTGTGGTCTCTTCTCAGCCATTGCCAGTCCCCTCTTGTAGCCATTCTCCAGCGCACTCCACCATAGAGTCTTCAGCCACACCCAGAGATGCTTAGTCTCTCTGCTCAGGTGTGTCCACTCACACATGTCCACACCATCCTCAGGTGCCCACCGTCAGTCACACATGCCCCAGCCCATGCACCAACTGTGCAAAGCCAGAGCCATCTTCCTTTACCCTCACAAAGTAAAATACCTACACTTCCATTTTAGGTGCCCCCAAAAGAATATAATCAGACCCAACTAGTAGAGGAGGGGAAGTGACTAACAAAAACAAAAATTAATTAAGAAAATCAGAAATAAAAGAAAAAGTAATATAGATCTGTCAGGTCAAATACGAATTATAATATAAGAAGGTAATTGGTGAACTTTACATTGGTAAAACTATGAAAGACCTGTGCAGGATTCATCCATTTGAGTTAATGAACATGCAGAAAATATTACATTTAACACCTACACATTCATTTTAAGAATACAGAGGCCGCTAAACATTACCATTTACTAGCTTTATAGCAAGCCTCCAATAGTCCAAAGCACTGAAATACTATAAATTCTTTGATCAAGGCAATTAAGATAAAAGTCAAAAGTAAAAAAAAAAAAAAAAAGTCAAAAGTAAAAGATAATTAGAGCATTCTTATGTGTTTTGAAATTTAGAAATGCAATAATAAATAGCCCATAGGTCAAAGAAAAAAATCATTGTGGAAATTCTGAGATATTGTCAACTGAATAAGAATAAAAATATCACACTTCAAATTTCGTATTTAAAGGGAACTCAATTTGTCAAATGTATATACTAGTAAGACTGAGAGTTAGTGATCTCATGAAGTTAGAAGAAGAAGAGAAAAACAGATGTAAATAGAAAAAACAATAATCTAGAACAGAAACTAACAGAATAAAAAGCTAAAAACCAATAGGACAAATCAGCAAGGCCTAAAACCTGCTGGGTTAGAAAGACTAATACAATTAAGTACAGAAGAAAAACCTTCCCACCCACTCAAGAACTCAGCATCCATTTACATCAAAAAACCACTCTGGGCAAAATGAGAATAGGATGGGATCTCCTGAAGGTGGTAAGGATTGAAACAAAGACTTAACAAACATTATACTTAATAATGACACACTTAGAAGCTTTCCAAACCTCCACATCAACATGAGGAAAGAGATAAATCTGCGAATGATTACCAATTTGTTCAGTGTTCTACTAAAGGTCCCAGACAGCGCAATAGTTAAGAAAAATAAATATAAGTTATAATGATTGGAGAGGGAAAAGACAAGACATTATAAGCAGATCATGTAATACGGATATATAGAGAAAATGAAAAATAATCTACAAATAAAAGTGCAAAAATTAATACAAAAGTTTAAGCCAAGTTTCTGGGTGTAAAATCAATATAAAAAGTTCAATTCATTTATAACAATAGCAATAAAAGTAAATTTAAAATGGACATCATTCACAGTGGCATTAAAAAATATGAAGTACTCAGGAATAACTCCAACAAAATATGTACGAGACATTAATGGAGAAAATTATAAAATTTTATTGAAAGACATTAAAAAGGACCTAAATAAATGGAGAAATATACCACTTCATGAATCGAAGGACTCA